TACGTAAATACACCAGAACGGCAGTTTACTGATTATAATATCAATGGCATGATCCCATTGGTCAGTTTACTGATTATAATATCAACGGCATGATCCCATTGGTCAGTTTACTGATTATAATATCAACGGCATGATCCCATTGGTCAGTTTACTGATTATAATATCAACGGCATGATCCCATTGGTCAGTTTACTGATTATAATATCAACGGCATGATCCCATTGGTCAGTTTACTGATTATAATATCAACGGCATGATCCCATTGGTCAGTTTACTGATTATGATATCAGTCGTCCTTCCAGCTATACTGTATAGGAGTGAATTGTGGGCGGGGCCAAGTAACTCATCAGTAACCGAGCTAGGGAGAACGCAAAGACACACTGCAGGATGCCAATGATTCGAAAAACAAGAAAACATCATTAGCAGCAGCAACAACAAGAATTCTTTGATTGTAAAATGTTTGCTGTGACGGTGAGAAACGCAAATCGTTTTTATGGATCAAGTGATGTAAGGCTAGCACTGACTTTCATTTGGAATCTTTGTTTCCTATTCGCATGAGTGACTATGTGTTTACAGAATACACGCTTCATGGCTCTGTTATATATTTGGGAAATACACGCTTCATGGCTCTGTTATATGTTTGGGAAATACACGCTTCATGGCTCTAGTTTTATCAGACATATCAAATATGTTAATAGAGTATTTCGTATACATTCATTCTTACTGGAAATTATGTTTCCATCTTCAACATACAGTTAAGACAATGGAAAGAGTTTGTTAAAGGCGTTACTGAACAATACTATTTGAGTGAATGGCGTTATGTTCATGAACATAATGTGCTTCTATATCATTACAAACATACATCCGTACATTTGTCCAAATACTCTGTGGGAGCCGAGCTGTAAATATCTAAAGCTGACATGGACAATTGCATGGTTGGTAAAGCTCTCCTATCGGATAGTGATAGATTCTGTAATCTTTGCCGTAGAACTATCCGTACACTACCATTGTCTTATAAAGTGTCCAGTTAAATATGACCGTGAAAAGATTATCATAGAGCCCCCTTTAAACCAGATCAGGAAAGGATAAGAGTAAGAGAGGGTAGACGTAACCAGCCAATCTAGGTCAAAATCCATCCAATCTAGGTCAAAATCCATCCAATCTAGGTCAAAATCCATCCAATCTAGGTCAAAATCCAGCCAATCTAGGTCAAAATCCAGCCAATCTAGGTCAAAGTCCAGTCGATCTAGGTCAAAATCCATCCAATCTAGGTCAAAATGCAGCCGATCTAGGTCAAACTCCAGCCGATCGAGGTCAAAGTCCGGAATCTGGTTTATATTGAAGACAGACTTAATTCCATTCATGCTATCTCACATCGGTTATAATTTCCTGTTCCAATACTAAGATATCCATATGACCTAGTCTGTTTGGTTCATAGATATCTAGTGCATAAGTTGTTTTTATTTCAATACTGGCCAAAGTTGACCGTGTGAATGTGTTAGCTTTGCTTCAGTGTAACATCAGATATCACTTCTATACTTCATGACTACCATTCAAACATATGATTATGTATAATCAAACCCGAGATGATTATTTAAAACAAATCACAGTTTTCCAATGTTTCGTACAGTTTCAATGATTTGTTTCCTAAAATATAAATATTTGAGTTACCTTTAAAATTCCAGGTCTCTGTTCAAGCAGATAATTTGATGCTATTGTGTAACTCAACAGACTACTTCAACATGTACGTGGTAGTGTCTTATGGAAGTCAGTTTAAAGCAAACAAATAAAGTGATAAGAGGCGTTTTAGTTAGTCTTTGCCAATACATTTTATTGATAAGTTCACAAGGTGAAAACATCTTGGATATAGTCAATATCCTTTCATATGTGAATGTTTTGACAATCAAACATACGATTGTATCTATGAGCAGTGAAGTGCTTATATCATAGTACTGTAAAAAATCATATTTTTGTGAGTACAATTTTCATTAAGAAAAATAATGCTTCATGAATACATAATTTCAAAGACAAATATGGCCTTATAGATCTGCAATTACTAATTCAAACATGTATTGGTCACATGAAAATCACACAAAATCACAAAAAACCCCCACCATAAAAATGTTTTTTACAGAATCAAATCTATTTGGTAAAATTGTAACAGAACCTTCCTCTACAGGTTAGGTAAATAAAGGGTTCAATCTGTACCTGCAAAAATCATTAAAATTCTGAATGTTACTTTTGTTAACATTTCTTTAAACAGGGGCCAATTTCTAATTCTCTGATTTTTACCACACACATCACACACAGTTTTCTTCAATCAATATCAATAATCAGTGACATGTATGTAGTGTTACAAATATATAACAGACAATATAACAATAAATACAACAATGAAATAAGGAGTGGTGTTAATTTGCATATAAGAATTTAATAAGTACAAACAAAACACATCTACTTAGTTTTTCATCAACACATCTAAAAACACTATGTTTTAAGTTCTAAAAAGTTCTCTTTTTAAAAAAATTTGATAGATTTGGATTTTTTTTTCAAAATGTGTATAATAGGACGGATCAATTGAAAACAAACCTGATATATTGCTAGTATCTGTGTATCTTGGTTATCTCTAAAGGAAAGGCACTATTGTAACAATCTTAAAATAATTTCTGTTCTTAATTAGAAAATAAAATACTTTCATATCATTAACATATATTCATGTATGATGAGAGTTAACAATTAAACTCCCCTACATTTAGCCAACATTTTAAAATCACTTCTGATAGATCAAGAAATAGACAAAGGAAAAAAGAAAAATAATAAGCACAACCTAAAACAAACATTCAATATACCACAGTTTTTCCTAAAAAATAAAATTCTGGAATGGTTTTAGTTTGCAAGATATTTAATTTACAATCAAAATTTTAACAAATTCACAATAGCTTCCGTGATGAAAACAAAAATTTTTGGTAGCTAAATAACAAGAGATCCTATTTATTAAAGTGTTTATGGGTTCCACTTAATGTCATCATTATCTAATATTAATAAGATGATATAAAGAGGAGTACAGATTATATCACATTATATCAAACGCACATATATTTACAAGTATATTAGGGGAAAATTTTATCATTTTAATAACTGTATTGTTATTAATTTGGTCTTTTTTGTTTTTTTTTTCTAATTATGAAAAACATGAAGATCATAGGTTTGACCTTAACTTTAATGTGTAAAGTAAATTACAACCAGACGTTTAATGACAGACGGCTGGTTAGCTTAATCATTTCCAGAACAGTTATGTTTGCTATTTTGATAACATATACCTGGTAACTGGTAAATGTACTTAAATTCTTGCTTTGAATTTTTTCAATCAGATAAATTTCCCACTTTACAATATCATGTATATCTCTTCTCCTACATACTCACATATATGGCAATTCATTTTATATAAAAAAAAAAGTATATGTAACTAATACCTAGCTTGAATCTCGATCCTTTGTGTTGTTTTTGTAATTTTTATTTTTAATTGTAAGAGATGAAAAAGACACATTGAGATTCTTCAACCATAAAATGTAATTTAAATCTAAGGTTTTTTACCCTGAAACATTTACATAATAATGATATAAAACTGGATGGCTTTATCATTTGCATATATTTACATATCTGTTAAATATGATCTATGAACGATATATAAATTGTTTTGTATACTTAATTACATAAAATGAAAATATATAGTAAACATATACATACCTCTATGATATTGTAAATATTAACAAGGTTCATGAATACTTATCGTACACATACAAATACAAATAAAGTATTCTTTCATCAATCTTACCAGAAATTCAAACTAATGTACAGTTTAATCAAGAATTGAATTTCCATACATCTTTTTATGAAAACAATTTATCAAACATTATATAAAATATTGATATATTGGCTTGAAAGTGTGGTTGGGTGGCGTAGAGTTAACACACTTGCCTTTCATTTATCTGTCCAGGGTTCAATTCCTGGAATGGACATGAAAAGGTATGGAGTCACCTACCGGACAATGTGGGGATTACCCCGAGTACTCTGGTTCCCTCTCACAATAAGACCCTCCACGTGGGGATTCCCCTGAGTACTCTGGTTCCCTCTCACAATAAGGCCCTCCATGTGGGGATTCCCCTGAGTACTCTGGTTTCCTGCCACAATAAGACCCTCCATGTGGGGATTCCCCTAAGTACTCTGGTTTCCTCCCACAATAAGACCCTCCACATGCTTCCAAGTGATTAATATTAGCTGATAGCTTGCTTTGCAATTTTTTGTAAAATAATTAGTTTATATTGAAAAAATTTTGCACGATTACTGATTTTGATGAATATTCATGACCTGTTAGGAATATCCATTATGTCATTAATCAGTGTGTTTCACTATCCATTACCGGTTACAAATGTTTATAACATATTCCCATTTAAAAACTGTTCAGTTATTTTTAAATCTCCTGAAATGTTTATCTCACATAAAACAACATCTTGAAACAATATCAATAACAAGTCAAAACTTCACAGCCTTGGATTTTTCTAAAGCTAGCTAGAGTTAACAAGTAGTCAGCGAAAATTTTCAAACACAAATCAAAACAAGTAGGAAACATTCGATATTATTTCATAGCTTAAGATTTGTTGAAACAGGTCAAAATATATTTTGAATTTTCTATAATGCCCTTGTATTTACAGTGTCAACAATATTTTTTACTGACCAACGGTTAAGTCTAACTAACTTTTGACCAACCTGGGTGTGATGTACACGCATATTTCCTCAAGATCTTGGACCCATAACATTTAGTTGTAGTACAACTAGGGAGATTGTTTTGTTAACAATTGATGATAAAAGTAAATCTAAACTTTAAACAAATTATCAAGGTTGTATAAAATATATTAAAGAAAAAATATATTGTCACAAGCTATTAACAAATAACAGTAAAATATGAAATAATCAAGATGATTTGTAAATAGAAGCAGTAATACACAGCTGTAACAGAAAGTTTTAACGATTCAATAAATTTAGTTTTGTTTACAAGTTCACAAGTGATATGATCAATGTAAGTTATTTAACATGAAATGACAAATGTGATTATTAATGAAAACATTGGTCAGGTGTCATCACATCTGTAATCTACTTCAACACACTCACTAACCTTTTGTTTGGAGACAGCAATGAGAAAATCAGTAGAATTTATGGTTGAAATTATAAACCAGTAATAAGAAAATGCAAATACAATACCTTACTAAAATGCGTAGTTTCTGTATAACAAACTGCCTCATTAACTTAGTAGCTGTTAAACTCAAACTTGAGGAAAAAATTCAGCATGAAAATAACTGAAGCCAATGCTTTATTACATTAAAAACTATGATTACCTCCCTTGTTTTTCCTAAACTCAATACTAACTTACATTAGTTCTATCGACACAAAGCTTACCAAAAGATAATGTAGCAGACAAAGCAAAATGACAAGACAGTAGAATATGCAACACAAGCCTGTTTCCTACATGGCTATATAACTACCTCTGGGTTTTACCTAGTGTATAACCATTTTCCATTGCACACGTTTGATGACTTGATAATCACTTATTTGATTTTGAGAATTTTTAAACTACATTTTTTCCTTTGTAATGTGATATTTAATATATACACATTGTCATTACAGGGAGATAACTCTTAACATCTCAAAGGTTCAATATTCAATTTATCTAGCGGTTAGCCTTACCCATCTTCCTGTACAACATCTTGAGGTTTTCCTTTGTGTTTAAAGAGTCTGGCTCCAGCTTTAGGGCATACTTATAATACTTCTCTGCTAAGTCATGCTTGTCCCATCGGTGGTACAACACACCAAGGTTAGCGTGAGCCTTCGCCAGATTTGGTTCAATTTTGATTGCCCGTAGAAAGTACTGCTCACTCTCTTTGTATCGGTCTGCCTTTCCCATGACATTGGCCAGGTTGATGTACATCTGTGGATCTTGACCAATGTATTTAAGTGCTTCTTTTGCTAGAGCCTCTGCCTTGTCCACTTGATCTACAACACAACAGGTCAGCGGTCAGAAAGTTTACCATGTACGACATGGAAGTCAGGAGTCACAAAGTAACAGGTGGTCATCATCAGGTAACACCATTGGATATGGAAGTCAGAAATTAACAGGTAACAGGTGGAAATCAGAGATTGGCACAGACCCAACACCATAGCTTGTTCAACTCTCTATTCTAATGACCTTGCCATTATTAGGAACTAGGGACTAGTACAATCTCCAATGCATACTGTAAATATTTGCCTACTGTGTACACTTTTATATAATGCACAGGTGCTTGAAGAAAAAACAAAAAAATCCCAGAGAGTTGATATTGACGCCTAGTATAGATATGTGATGGGTCAAACTACTTGTCTACTGTTTAGGTAAAAATGTTGTTTTCACATTGCCTTCCATTACCTGTTACCGGTATATCAAACGTAAACCATAGTGGTCACCATAACATAAGGAAGGGTGTGACTTATATTTTTCCACTGCAACTTATAAGTGGATCAAATAGAAAAAAATGACTAAAACGGACCCTGCGGCTTTTATATTGGTGCAGATTATAACTCAGAAATTACAGTAACTTCTTATAAAGGTTGTTATATATAATATTGAATTTCTGTCATACATACTAAGGTTATCTAGCAGTATCACCATATTGTTCCATGCATTGAAGTGAGTAGGTTTCTGTAATGTAGCATTCCTCCAAGCCTGAAGGGCCTCCTTGTGCCTCTTCTGATCCAGGTACTGAAACATAACATTTAGAAGCTTCTTATGAACTTTTCCAAGAAAACAGACCTAGCTAAAAGTAATGATAGTTAAAATAGACAAAATGCAGTTGATAATGTGTACTTCAATGTATATTTGGTTATAGAAGGTAAAACAGTCAATGTATCAGCTATACATACCAGGTTGCCAAGATTATAGTAACAGTCAGGGTATTTCCGTCGATGTAGAAGCGCCCTGAAGTAGCTCCTCTCGGCCAAATCATTCTTTTTCAGATTAGCCTGGACAATACCCAAATTCATCCATGCAGCTGCAAACTCATCCCTTTTAAATACAACAACAAACATTCAGGAACTGGAAAAGAAATTTAGGAGCTGCCCTTTTCATTTAGTGCATGTATTTATCAGCTAAATATTTTTTTCAATATAAAAATGATCTTTTAAAAATTTAAATAAAAATACTATCCTTAAAACTGAAACGCCATCCCATATACAAAATGTGTTAAGGTACTGATCCTGTGTTCCGTTAGAAGTGGTGGAGAGAGAAATGAGAATCATTCTAAACGAACCATACATAGAATGGATATAGATGATAGATCATCAACATTCCTTGGTTTACAGGTTAAGGCTAGCTTAGAGTAAAGTGTCTTGCTCAAGGACACTCTACGACAGTGCAAAGAAGTATGTTTCTCTTCTACTTCAACCACAGGAAGTATTGCTTGACCTTCAACCATAGGAAGTATTGCTGGACCTTCGCCTGAATTAAGTATTGCTTGACCTTCAACCATAGGAAGTATTGCTGGACCTTCACCTGAATTAAGTATTGCTAGACCTTCAACCATAGGAAGCATTGCCAGACCTTCAACCATAGGAAGCATTACCAGACCTTCAACCATAGGAAGTACTGCTTGACCTTCAACCATAGGAAGTATTGCTAGACCTTCAACCATAGGAAGTATTGCTAGACCTTCAACCATAGGAAGTATTGCTAGACCTTCAACCATAGAGAGTATTGCTAGACCTTCAACCATAGGAAGTATTGCTAGACCTTCAACCATAGGAAGTATTGCTAGACCTTCAACCATAGAGAGTATTGCTAGACCTTCAACCATAGGAAGTATTGCTGGACCTTCAACCATAGGAAGTATTGCTGGACCTTCAACCATAGGAAGCATTGCTGGACCTTCAACCAAATGCAGTATTGCTGGATTTTCACCCAAGGAAATATTACTGGACTTTCATTAAGAAGTGTTTAAACTGACTTTATTGCAGGTGTAACAGAGAAAACATCCACACAAGAATTTGTATATAGACAGAAGAACGATGTGATTTTAACAGGACATCAGTATGTTGATGACGTAGGTCCTATTTATATTTACTAAAGGTTAACAATTTTTGTGCTTACCTTATGCTGACAGCCTTCAGTAGGAGCTCTTCAGCTTCATGTAGCTCTCCTTGATCCTTCAGTATATTTGCCAAATTGTTCATAGCCTGGTCATACTCATGATTCAAACTGGAAGAAAAGAAATGTGTTTTTCTGAGGTCTTTTTCTTGGTTATAAGAATTTTCTGTTGTCTTCAAAAACTACTCCATATACAACAATTATTTTTTTATAAATTCTAACTTCCTTATGAAATGGGTCCCTATATTGAAATGCAGCTTTGTAGACTTAGATCCTCTAAACTAAATTTATAACAACAAGGATACTGAGTATTACTGACACAACATATGTCCCCTAAAAGCCCCATACACTGTTACACTGTAATCATTCATGGTGCCCAGGAAAAGCTAATTCATCATTTATTTTCACACTTTTAATCTTCAGCATCTACATTTGATCCTCATAGAACATCTTTGCAAAGCATCAGCATCCTTACATCTTTATTAAGTGAATTGTTAATCATTAGAAAACTTCAACCTGAAGATTTTGACCAAAAAGAATTGTCCCAACATGTCTCAAACTGAGAGAGCGAGAAAAAAAGCAAACAAAACTTATTTGTTTACATCAGGAATGTAGAACACCTCCATGTTTACATTGACAATTTGCATTTGTCAAAGGGTGAAAACTGAATGCAGAAATTAAACGTGAATTTATAATGAATTCATTCAAAGTATCAAAATATTGAAATAAGATTATAAAACTAAATTTGAAACTTAATGGATTTTTCGTTTTTGAGAAATAACTTATCTAATATGTTCCTAAACTGGGTTTTAGGGCTTGAGCTGAGACTAGTTAAGGCATTCACCAATTATTGCCGACATTGATGAAAATATGGAAGTTGTTGTTGAAGGAAGTGAGCACCTTGAAGTTGGTATAGAATTTCTATAAGATGACAACATCAAACAACATTTTATGTGGACACAGTCATGGGTATTGTAAACTGCCACTAGCATAGATTTATCAATGGCAGCATAAACATGGTGCCAAGTCTCTGTGTCACTGTAATACATATATATGGAGCGTGGGTTGGGAATTGGTGCCAAGTTCCTGTGTCACTATAATACATATAAATATAGACCATGGGTTGGGAATTCATGCCATGTCCCTGTGTTACTACAATGAATATATATGACCATGGGTTGGAAATTGCTGCCAAGTTCCTGTGTCACTATAATACATATAAATATAGACCATGGGTTGGGAATTCATGCCATGTCCCTGTGTTACTACAATGAATATATATGACCATGGGTTGGAAATTGGTGCCAAGTTCCTGTGTCACTATAATACATATAAATATAGACCATGGGTTGGGAATTCATGCCATGTCCCTGTGTTACTACAATGAATATATATGACCATGGGTTGGAAATTGCTGCCAAGTTCCTGTGTCACTATAATACATATAAATATAGACCATGGGTTGGGAATTCATGCCATGTCCCTGTGTTACTACAATGAATATATATGACCATGGGTTGGAAATTGCTGCCAAGTTCCTGTGTCACTATAATACATATAAATATAGACCATGGGTTGGGAATTCATGCCATGTCCCTGTGTTACTACAATGAATATATATGACCATGGGTTGGAAATTGCTGCCAAGTTCCTGTGTCACTATAATACATATAAATATAGACCATGGGTTGGGAATTCATGCCATGTCCCTGTGTTACTACAATGAATATATATGACCATGGGTTGGAAATTGCTGCCAAGTTCCTGTGTCACTATAATACATATAAATATAGACCATGGGTTGGGAATTCATGCCATGTCCCTGTGTTACTACAATGAATATATATGACCATGGGTTGGAAATTGCTGCCAAGTTCCTGTGTCACTATAATACATATAAATATAGACCATGGGTTGGGAATTCATGCCATGTCCCTGTGTTACTGCAATGAATATATATGACCATGGGTTGGGAATTGGTGCCAAGTCCCTGTGTCACTATAATATAAATATATGGACTGTGGTCCCTGTGGTTTCTGTGACTTGCTCTACCTGATGGCATCTTTATATTTTTCTATGGCATATTCCACATTTCCGCTGTCTCCATTAAGCTTCGCTATGTTATAGTGCACCTGTCAATACACAAGAAACCCTATTAATATGATACACATTCTTATTAAGGACTCAACATTCAAAATTAAAAAAAAAATGAAAACTTATCACCTTGTCCCTCCGTTTGCCACCACCATTATCATAACTAAGATTACCACCCTCTTTTGTATTTTCCAAGGACAAAGTTGAATGATTATTTCTTCTAACTTAAAGAAAAAGTGTCTTCTTTATGATTTAACTGAAATTTTCCTAAAATGTTACCTAGACAACAGGTACCATACCTTGGCATTAAGAGGACAGACACTGACTCCAGCTTTAAATAGTGACATCTCCTTTCTCCATTCATAGCTTCGCTGGGCGCAGCGTAAGGTAAAAATTGTCACCACAAAAACTAACATGTATCTCACAACCTGTTGAATGTAATAATACACTTAGATATGCAAAAATGATCAATGACCTCTGACCTAACTGTATCAATCTATTGACCTCTGACCTAACAGTTTGAATACTTTTACCTAGGACCTAACAGCTGTTTTTATTTATCATTATTATTGACCTAAAAGTTAGGGTTTAGATAAGCTGCAATCAATTAATATGACTCAGGGCTCATTTATCTCAGCACTCAAACTTTATGGATTGTGATGCAAGAAACAAAATGCGCTCGTGATAAACAAAAATAAATAAGAAAGAAACTTAAATTGATAACTTAAGTGATCTTAAATAGAAGGCATGGTCTGAATATCTGATTTTTTTTCCGAAGCAAGAAATGATCAAATCTTCATACAAAAACATGCAATGTATCACCATGTACAGTTCATTTTTTTTTTATATAAATGTCTCCTTACATCTAACTTAATCTATAGCTAACCCTCTTTACATTGTCAATACTTGGCTGCATAAACAGTGGCAGTATATATAATGACATTATCAATTATAGGAAAGATAGAATGGCTTGTGACACACTAAATTTGAGATAGTATTGAATATTCATCACACATTTACCAACCAGACAATATTTAACAAAGTAATATATATTAAATACTAATATATCAGACTTAATTGAGTGAACAGTATATAAACATGATAAAGATACAGTAGACTGCAGTAAACATGGGATCCTACCTGAGGAAATGATTGAGTGGACACAAGTCTCTGTACGCCGAGTACAATGACCACACAGTAGCCAGCTGTAGATAGGTAGAGTACACGCTCGGCAATCACAAACCCAACACGGAACAGAAGATTTGTGGCAGGTAAGAACGGGACCACAATCAGAGCCAGACCCATAGACAAACAGCTACAATGTACATTGTACAATTCACTCATAAACAAACAGCTACAATATACAATGTACAATACACTCATAAATAAACAGCTACAATATACAATACACTCATAAACAAACAGCTACAATGTACAATATACAATTCACTCATAAACAAACAGCTACAATATACAATGTACAATACACTCATAAATAAACAGCTACAATATACAATGTACAATACACTCATAAACAAACAGCTACAAAAAACAATTACCATAATTTTAAACATTTCAAGCTGAAAATATTCTGTTAAGATATGATTATGTTGATTGTCATTTCAACCTGTTTTATGATGCTCAAGTTCAATTCATCATTGTGGCAAATTGCCAAAAAGTGATAATAAACAGAAATTTGATTGTATCCTATTAAACATGATTACAGTTCAGTCCTTGTACTTATATCTCCGTATGATATCATCTCAGACCTTATTTCTAATGTAATTAAGTCTTCTATCTATTTATCGGTTAAAACCTAGAAAAATTTTACACTTGTACATCCGTGTAAAATCTTAACAGTATCTAAAACATCCAGTAGCTGTTGAACAGCTGGTCCTTTGAACCAAGACAAAACCATTATAAATACCGTTTTTCATGGTCAATGGCACCATTTAATGCTGCAAAGATCAGTCCTCCTAGCACCAACCAGAACGCAAAAACTGCTAGAATACGAGGGTCCATTAGAGACTCAATGACGGGTATACATCCCATCGACCAATCAAAACAAAGCCACCATGGATTGACCAATAGAAGACTGTTGATGGAGTAAAGATAGTTGTAGTTCAGCACCTGTAAAACATTTTGAAAAACCAAACTTGTAGCAAAACTCAGTCAACCTTCATCTTCACTTTATTTTGTGTTATTGTTTTTGCTGCAATCAACATCCCTGTTCTAATTATCTATTCCTTTAAAATGTAGCTGTATTTTGATAACTATCCTTCAAAAAAGTTGAGTCATCCAAAATGAGACCAACTCTATAATTTTCAAGCAACTTTTATCAAAGCATCACACTTAATTACACATGAAAATTATCCCAAACAGCTACAGATATTTCATTTCAAAAGAACCCCTTACACTTAAATCAGTTCATGAAAATATTTACAGAAATACCCAGTCCTGTTGACGGGTTAAAGAAACATAGGGGTATCAATTGATACCTACCCTTGTAATAGTGCCGTTGACGAAAGAATGCGGATTATCAAACACCTGGAATGTGGGTGTGGTTGACCCCATGATTCTCCACCGAGTCACCAGGATGACCAAACCTCCACACAAAAGCAGCAGCTGACGTTTGACAAGGGAGATAATCCAAGGTTTATCATCCTGCTACAAAATAATCATCAAAATGTGTAACATATATACCAGGAAACATTTTTATCAGGTTGGTGTGAATATATGGAATGCTTTTAGCAAAGTGTTTGATGCAGGAGACACAAGGTGTACAATTTTCAGAACATTCATGTCAAGACAAAATAACTGTTACAAGGTAATTTAAAGTGATCTGTTTACACAAATATGGGAATCTATATAAGAATTAAGTTTTCAATGAAACAAACAGTGAAACATTTAAAGTGGTACCCTAACCCAGGTGATACAGTGTGTGAATACAAGCTCATCTCACAATCAAATAAATGGGAAACATACACTCTCTTGACCGAGTTGGTTGTACGATAAGGTTAAATTGGTGTGACGAGATATATATCCAGGATCACCTAACTATAAATCTATTGTAGGTAGGTAGTCACCTGTTTTTGACCAGTTGTTCCACCACTACCACTTAAGTGACCATTGTTCAGCATTGCCAGTTCCTTTTTCAGACCAATGGCTGCCAAGATATCTACCCTACATATCATAATGATATCGAAGGCACTACAGATACCCTGAAACATAAAAGAACGTCTAGATATCAGATATTCATTGTGTTTGTATAAGAAACTATCTCTGAACTCTAATGAACATATTTTTTTTACTGTTACCTTCCCAATTTCAGAAAATCAACTTCAAATACATTCAACACCATTATCATTTTGTCTTCTGTGGAAAAAAATGGAACATTTCTGATATAGGCTGTCACAGAAGCTACATATTTTTTTTTCACTGATATTGACTCAAAATCAGATGCTCAGTTCAAAATCATCAAATTTACATACAACTGCAGGAAAGATAAATTTACACTACACATTTCTTTAGGACATCTCATTCCTTCCTGTTGTTATTTTGATATAAAAACGTAATTCTCTAAAGAAGCTTATGTGTACTCACAATAACAGTGATACCCATCTCTTTACACAGCACTGACATGCCACACAGGACGAGACTACAGATGAGAGGAGGCAGGGAGAATGATGTTGGACGATATAGGACGCTGTCTCCATTCTCTGCAGCCACTGTAAACAAACAGGGTCATATTTATCAATGATGACACACCAATTTTCTGTTTATTCACTAGCTTGATATCACTATAGAATACCATTAGGGTGTACCTTGTATTGTTATTACAACAATGACTTTTTGAGTACAGATAATTAAGCCTTGATTTTTGTGTCATAATCTTTTAAAGATCATTTTAATCACTTTTTAAAGATCAGAAAATCTTAAATGAAGTTTCAGCAAAGAGATTAATCAAAATTGTTTAAATCATGTCAGTGACTTGTTTATAAAACTGCTTACAAATAGCTTTAGATATACATGTATTACCATACATTGATTCTGGGAACAGGATACATCCAGAACACTGTACTGACCTTGCGCACATGACCTGACATAGAATTTGAAGGATAGAATGAAGAGTAAGGCACATAAGAGATCTGCTCGTCCCACAACTCCTGCCACCTGTAACAAAACAAAAAGTTCTTGGTCAATTTCTTTAATTTTCTTTTCATTCCCTCAGTCAATAGTTACAAACAGTTATCAAGAAAAAAGGTTAAAAAATAACAAAATAAGTAATTAAGCACTTAAAAATAATGCTGATACTTTGTAATGCAGTAGAGAAATGAAGTTCTTTAAATTGAAAACTTTACAGCTTTACTGTCCTTGACATACTGATACCTTAATATGCCCGAGGAGGCAAACTCATGACATATAATCGACTCAGTTACAGCATTGGTTTGGACTCCTTATAAAGTGGAAAGACATGTGAAGTATCGTGAAATTTGCAATCATTCAAGCATTATTCATTAAAGAATGTATCACATCAATTAATATTCATAGTTTGTCATGGTTAAATTTTTCAGATGTTATAATATTAATAATACACTTTGTCATAAAAGGCTCTGCTTTAGAGACTTAAAATCTGGGACAATATTGGTTGTATCATAACATACCGACTCTGTGTGGATTGGATGGACAGCAAACAATATTGCACACAACAGTGATGCCCGAGGATTTCCGAATGCTAATGTTCCTGTCTCTTTGGCAACTGTACATTCAGAAAACACAATGGAGAATACTGATAACATAAGTGTAGATACAATGCTGTGTAGGAGAATATTGACTATGTGGAATCCCTTTGGAAACAGCCCTCCTGCTAAACTGTGACTCCACCTAAAAACAGAAATTTTTCTTATCAGTTCACTTACAAATGAACATACACATGCACACAGTAACGTCAGTAATGCTTTTCCTGTGGGACTCACTCATATTTTGAGAACCCACTATACAACTTTGGGCTTATTAAAATTTTTGAATCAGTGTTCTGGACTCTTCAAAAACAATCCTACAAAAATCATTGTAACTTATATAGAATGTATGTATATCTTAAGGCTTAAAAGTATAGGATTTTACACCTACAGTCTCCATTTTGTATATATACAAAGATTTATGAAATAAGCCTGAGATTTTCCATGTCAGTGAGACTCTAGTGATGCATTAAATGTCTAACACTGATACCTGTAAGTAAGAACAGTGAGAGGCCTATATGACTTGTGGCTGGTTTTGGACGTGAGTTTCTTGCCCCAAAAGTCATGGAAAAACAAGTCTGTAACAGGTACATCCCCGTGTAAATCTTTATTGTTCAGGATTGCCTCGCTGTCATCAAAAACAAAGTCTCCGTCGTAGCTATTGACGAAGCACACGCCTGCCAGAATGAAGACAACAACAGAGGCTGATGTAAGGCTGAGTCGGGGGATAGGTATTGCATCATCCCAGCTCCTATGAGACCTGGCATCCTGGTGGTGGGCATGCCCGTTGACACCATTAGAATGCGATGATGACCCATTTTTATGTACTTTGTACATAATCTTGTGTTATCTAGAAATCATTCTGAAAGAAAATGATGCATAAAATTTCGTAAAATTATGATGGTTTTCATGTAACATAATTTACTGAAACTAAGACCCTCCCCAATTGACACAAAATAAAAAAAAAAGAAGGCAAGACACTTATTAGCAAAATTCCTTCTTATTCCTAGAAAATTTGAGGAAAGAAGGCCTATTTACATTAAAACAACGTATTGAGAGAATTTCAAAATACCAACAAGAAAAGGAAAATCTTTTCATCTATTGTTTTGATTTAGAAATATTCACGAAGACAAAGCTATGGCATAAACATTAAAACCAATGTGTGTATTTACATAAATGGGAAAACTGAAATTATAAAAAACAGATTACATGAATTATCCAATATTTAGATCTATGATAAAGAAGAAGTGATTATGTTTTGTTCATTACGTGTTATTGGTTATATGTTTGCTGATTTGAAAGCTGGTGGCTACGTCACTGAACAACATGAAGGAGGTCTACAATATGATATCCGAAGCAATAGAAGTTAAAGTGTCTTTGATATTTAAGTCACGGATCCGTACTTTTCCCTTATGTGTCAGGCCACCTGAATTCTGAGTATCTACTCTAAATCTATGTGATGGGAATCCCCATTCCTGACTTACCAGAAAAAAAAATCAAAAATCAACTTTACTAACAATAAATTGATTTATATTTTATAAATTTTGAGTATCTACTCTAAATCTATGTGCTGGGAATCAACGAAATTGGGAAACCCCGTTCCAGACTTACCAGAAAAAAAAATCATACAAAAATTACTTTATAACTAAAATCAAACTTTGATAACAATAAATTGAAATATATTTTATAACATTTACAACAATTGCGAGAAAAGTTTTTCCAGCTTATTTCTATCACTCTAGTTGGCCCGAACGGCCAAGTAAAAGGCAGGTGTGTTACCACTGAGCACCCAACCATCTAGAATTAAGACACAGAAGCAAATCAAATACTATTTTTTGCTGCTAATAAACATAACTGTTCACAGATTCTTTTAACTTTTAATAACTTTCATTAATCACTATTTCGAATATGGGACGAAATTGGTGGACTTAAGTAGAAAATATTATATCATACACATGTTCTAGAAGACAAAAACGACTGCATGGGCATACAACATATCAAATTCTGATGGCAGTCAGATCATTTATATAAATGTTCAATATGTTCTTTGTAATAGTCATGGAATAATTTGACCCATTCCTCTTTGTCATAAAAAATTATAAACATAAGATAAATGAACACTGGTGATGGAGAGTTAGGGAAAGTTAAACAGATTATAGAGAAAAAAGGAACACATTATTATGATCATGGAATAATTTGATTAATTCCTCTTTGTCATAAAAAATATATAAACATAATATAAATATACACCGGTGACGGAGAGTTAGGTAAGTTAAACAGATTATAGAGAAAAAAGGAACACATTATTATGATCATGGAATAATTTGATTAATTCCTCTTTGTCATAAAAAATATATAAACATAATATAAATATACACCGGTGACGGAGAGTTAGGTAAGTTAAACAGAATACAGAGAAAAAAGGTACACCGTATGGTAGCACGGAGCTTTAGTTATTTCAGCTATGGTTTGTTAACACTTGTTTAGTGATGCATATGGTTAACACTGACCAGCAGCATGAAAAGGTTGTTTTCCGTATCAACTATTTTGGAATTTTCCAAGTCAATGACATAATTTTGCTGAGTGGAATAATATGTAAGTGCAGATTCATTGATCTGGGAGTGCTCATGATTTCGCTCTGTTCTATATCACAGATAAAATATTTTCTAGCCTCTAGGTATTACAGGCAATTAGAGTCTAATTTAATTAGGTAAAAACATGGAGTGAGAACTATTTAACTGGTCAGTTTTCAGTTTTAACTACAGATCTATCAAGAAGATTTAAAAACAAACAATGTTTTAACAGAAATTCAGTTCTACCGACAGCATGTTCTACAGCGTGTCAAGATCGCCTTCTTTGAAAACTTGTTTGGAGACTTTCTCGTGCAGTCAACCGTGTTACAAACCACTAAACGTCTTACAGCTTCTAAAAGTATCTTACATTCATGACAATCGGCAGTTAATGCTTCATACATGAAGTCTGGAATTTCTAAAATACTTTCATAACAAAATCGCACATTCCAAAAGTAAAAAGCAGTGTTTACCTTTCCTACACCTGTGTTATGCTTTCAGCACAGATTCACCTGGCGTGACCGCTTATATCAATGACAAACATCAACATTGAAAATAATAATGATCAAAAGTAATATATCCAATATATTGGGTAATTTTTTTTTACCTTTTCTCGAAGAACACGTAATTATAGTTTTACTTAAATACGAGTCTGAGGTTACATGATTTGTAAATAAATAATAAGAAGTAATGTAATCCAAGGGAGACAACTCGTAAAGGATTTTTTTTTCTTGTATGCTTACAATGATACGATAATCATGCCTACTGTGCAGTATATATTACATTGTTTGTTTACTGGTGACTACCTTACTGAACAACACACAGGATGTCTATTGTATACCACCCAGAGTAATCCGCATTTTGTTTTCCTATTTCAAAATGCACACCCTTGCCACTTAAATCCTTTTGTTTCAGATATATAGCCTACTGTAGGTCACATATCCAGTGTTTTAGCACGATCTGAAGAGAGCATTAATGGTTATTTACACCCAAGTAAAATTTGAGTCACATGACATATATGCCTTATTGTAAAATTGGAAATCTTCATTGGAACATCATTGGTATCAACATGTTGCCAATAAAGAGAGTATTTATAAATATGTTTGGTAGGGGGCTTTAATATTGATAATATTAATATAATATTGGCGCTCCCTCATCCATTCTTATAATTTCGTTTAAATAAGATGTTGTGTACATTTCAACCTAATTTCCCTCAAAATGACGTATTAGTGCATTTTTTAATAAATAAACAATGTGTCACTATTTTCCGATCGATTTAATGTGTTGTTCTTCATTATTATTATGCACGCATTCATTTTGTTTTAAGATTAACCAGTGTGTGATTGAAAAAATAATAGCAATGTCATCCCATTTTATGGAAGTTTATTAATTTTCGTTGCAAAGTCATAAAAAGGTAGATTTCCCATGACTTTAAGTCTCCTGGTTTTGTCGCTATAACCTGCATGTCACGCTTTACTTCATTCGAATAGTTGCACGGTTCAGAAAATATACATATATACTTAACCCTGTTCTAAATTTATTTGATGTATGAAAGTAAAGAAATTTGTGTAATCATGGGGCTAGTGCATCTCTCAGACGAGATTTTTTTTTACTTTTCCTTCAATCACTTCGGCTGTTTCTCAATCGCCTCTTAAGCTTAAAAATCTAGGCCCTTAGCATCACTGATGAATCCTGGGAGGACGAAACAGCTGTATGATGCAGTTTAATTTATTGTTTGGCTCTACTGTATCTCTAAACTATTAAAAGATCCCAATTACTTGTGTGTCTTTTCTACAATATTTGAAACATTAACAAACAAATATTTACCACTCCATGGTATTTCCACTATATAATCTTAACAAATGTAGTTCAACATTATCACTTCATACCTCATACATCTTATCCTATGGCCCTTGTGGTGGTTGAGTACTATAGACAATGTCATCCTATGGCCCCTGTGGTGACCGTGTACTATAGACAATGTCATTCTATGGTCCCTGTGGTGATCGTGTACTATAGACAATGTCATACTATGACCCCTGTGGTGACCGTGTACTATAGACAATGTCATCCTATGGCCCCTGTGGTGACCGCGTACTATTGACAATGTCATCCTATGGCCCCTGTGGTGACCGTGTACTATAGACAATGTCATTCTATGGCCCCTGTGGTGACCGTGTACTATAGACAATGTCATCCTATGGCCCCTGTGGTGACCGTGTACTATAGACAATGTCATCCTATGGCCCCTGTGGTGACCGTGTACTATAGACAATGTCATCCTATGGCCCCTGTGGTGACCTTTTACCATAGACAATGTCATCCTATGGCCCCTGTGGTGACCGTGTACTATAGACAATGTCATCCTATGGCCCCTGTGGTGACCTTTTACCATAGACAATGTCATCCTATGGCCCCTGTGGTGACCTTTTACCATAGACAATGTCATCCTATGGCCCCTGTGGTGACCGTGTACTATAGACAATGTCATCCTATGGCCCCTGTGGTGACCGTGTACTATAGACAATGTCATCCTATGGCCCCTGTGGTGACCTTGTACTATAGACAATGTCATCCTATGGCCCCTGTGGTGGTTGAGTACTATAGACAATGTCATCCTATGGCCCCTGTGGTGACCGTGTACTATAGACAATGTCATCCTATGACCCCTGGGGTGACCGTGTACTATAGACAATGTCATCCTATGGCCCCTGTGGTGACCGTGTACTATAGACAATGTCATCCTATGGCCCCTGTGGTGACCTTGTACTATAGACAATGTCATCCTATGGCCCCTGTGGTGGTTGAGTACTATAGACAATGTCATCCTATGGCCCCTGTGGTGACCTTGTACTATAGACAATGTCATTCTATGGCCCCTGGGGTGACCGCGTACTATTGACAAATTCTTCCTATTACCCCTGTGGTGACCGTGTACTATAGACAATGTCATCCTATGGCCCCTGTGGTGACCTTGTACTATAGACAATGTCATCCTATGGCCCCTGTGGTGACCGTGTACTATAGACAATGTCATCCTATGGCCCCTGTGGTGACCGTGTACTATAGACAATGTCATCCTATGGCCCCTGTGGTGACCGAGTACTATAGACAATGTCATCCTATGGCCCCTGTGGTGACCGTGTACTATAGACAATGTCATCCTATGGCCCCTGTGGTGACCGTGTACTATAGACAATGTCATCCTATGGCCCCTGTGGTGACCGTGTACTATAGACAATGTCATCCTATTGCCCCTGTGGTGACCGTGTACTATAGACAATGTCATCCTATGGCCCCTGTGGTGACCGTGTACTATAGACAATGTCATCCTATGGCCCCTGTGGTGACCGTGTACTATAGACAATGCCATCCTATGGCCCTTGTGGTGACCGTGTACTATAGACAATGTCATCCTATTGCCCCTGTGGTGACCGTGTACTATAGACAATGTCATCCTATGGCCCCTGTGGTGACTGTGTACTATAGACAATGTCATCCTATGGCCCCTGTGGTGACGGCGTACTATTGACAAATTCTTCCTATGACCCCTGGGGTGACCGTGTACTATAGACAATGTCATCCTATGGCCCCTGTGGTGACCGTGTACTATAGACAATGTCATCCTATGGCCCCTGTGGTGACCGTGTACTATAGACAATGTCATCCTATGGCCCCTCTGGTGACCGCGTACTATAGACAATGTCATTCCATGGTCCCTGTGGTGATCGTGTACTATAGACAATGTCATACTATGACCCCTGTGGTGACCGTGTACTATAGACAATGTCATCCTATGACCCCTGTGGTGGTTGAGTACTATAGACTAAACAATGACATCTGACAGTTCTCTGTGGGGATGCAACTATAGATTACACAATGACATCTGATAGTTCTCTGCGGGGATGTCTACTATAGACTACACAATGACATCCGACAGTTCTCTGTGGGGATGTCTACTATAGACTACACAATGACATCTGACAGTTCTCTGTGGGGATGTCAAATGAAGATTACTCAATGTCATCTGAAAGTTCTTTGTGGGGATGTCTACTATTTACTACACAATGAAATCTTACAGTCCTGTATGGGAGATGTGTACTAAAGAGGACACAATGACATCCTACGATCAAACTACACAAATGAGACAAATGCACTCTACGCTCCCCTGTAGAAGCTATATATCATGAAGGATGCAATGGCATGCCACGTCCCCTGTAAAAGTTATGTATTATGAAAGAGATAATGGCATGTCACGGTTCCCTGGTGGAAGTTATGAAAGAGGCAATTATGTGACACAGTCCCTTTGACAACTAAACACTTCAAATTAATCCAATAGTTTATATTCAATAAAACCACATATAATAATGAGGTATAACCGAGTAAACAAGCATTCAGCTAACATTCTTCTCAACATACATATTGTATGATACAACCTTGTATACAATATACAGACTGAAGTTACATAACGTGTTATAACCTTGTGTACAATATACAGACTGAAGTTACATAACGTGATATAACCTTGTGTACAATATACAGACTGAAGTTACATCACGTGATATAACCTTGTGTACAATATACAGACTGAAGTTACATAACGTGTTATAACCTTGTGTACAATATACAGACTGAAGTTACATAACGTGTTATAACCTTGTGTACAATATACAGACTGAAGTTACATAACGTGTTATAACCTTGTGTACAATATACAGACTGAAGTTACATCACGTGATATAACCTTGTGTACAATATACAGACTGAAATTACATAACGTGTTATAACCTTGTGTACAATATACGGACTGAAGTTACATCACGTGATATAACCTTGTGTACAATATACAGACTGAAGTTACATCACGTGATATAACCTTGTGTACAATATACAGACTGAAGTTACATCACGTGATATAACCTTGTGTACAATATACAGACTGAAGTTACATCACGTGATATAACCTTGTGTACAATATACAGACTGAAGTTACATCACGTGATATAACCTTGTGTACAATATACAGACTGAAGTTACATCACGTAATATAACCTTGTGTACAATATACAGACTGAAGTTACATCACGTAATATAACCTTGTGTACGATATACAGACTGTACGTGATATAACCTTGTGTAGACTGTTAATCACGTTATAACATCACGTTACATACGTATATAACCTTGTGTACAATATACAGATATACATAACGTGATATAACCTTGTGTAAGTTAACTAACGTAACGTGATATAACCTTGTGTACAATATACAGACTGAAGTTACATCACGTGATATAACCTTGTGTACAATATACAGACATGAAGTGTACATATACGTGATATAACCTTGTGTACGATATACAGACTGAAGTTACATCACGTAATATAACTATGTGTACAATATACAGACTGAAGTAACATCACGTAATACAACCTTGTGTACAATATACAGACTGAAGTAACATCACGTAATACAACCTTGTGTACAATATACAGACTGAAGTTACATAACGTGATACAATAATAAGTTACACACGTGTGTACCTTGATATACATATAACCTTGACTGAAGTTACATAACGTGATATAACCTTGTGTACAATATACAGACTGAAGTTACATAACGTGATATAACCTTGTGTACAATATACAGACTGAAGTTACATCACGTGATATAACCTTGTGTACAATATACAGACTGAAGTTACATCACGTGATATAACCTTGTGTACACATATACAGACATCACGTGATATAACCTTGTGTACGATATACAGACTTACATACGTATAACCTTGTGTACAATATACAGACTGAAGTTACATCACGTGATATAACCTTGTGTACACAGATATACACGTGATATAACCTTGACTGAAGTTACATCACGTGATATAACCTTGTGTACAATATACAGACTGAAGTTACATCACGTGATATAACCTTGTGTACGATATACAGACTGAAGTTACATCACGTGATATAACCTTGTGTACAATATACAGACTGAAGTTACATAACGTGATATAACCTTGTGTAGGATATACAGACTGAAGTTACATCACGTGATATAGTGTACAATATACAGACTGAAGTTACTTGTGTTCAATATACAGACTGAAGTTACATCACGTGATATAACCTTGTGTAGGATATACAGACTGAAGTTACATAACGTGATATAACCTTGTGTACAATATACAGACTGAAGTTACATAACGTGATATAACCTTGTGTACGATATACAGACTGAAGTTACATCACGTGATATAACCTTGTGTACAATATACAGACTGAAGTTACATCACGTGATATAACCTTGTGTACGATATACAGACTGAAGTTACATAACGTGATATAACCTTGTGTACGATATACAGACTGAAGTTACATCACGTGATATAACCTTGTGTACGATATACAGACTGAAGTTACATCACGTGATATAACCTTGTGTACAATATACAGACTGAAGTTACATCACGTGATATAACCTTGTGTACGATATACAGACTGAAGTTACATCACGTAATATAACCTTGTGTACGATATACAGACTGAAGTTACATAACGTGATATAACCTTGTACAATATACAGACTGAAGTTACATAACGTGATATAACCTTGTGTGCAATATACAGACTGAAGTTACATCACGTGATATGACCTTGTGTAGGATATACAGACTGAAGTTACATAACGTGATATAACCTTTTATACAATATGCAGACTGAAGTTACATAACGTGATATAACCTTGTGTACGATATACAGACTGAAGTTACATAACGTGATATAACCTTGTGTACAATATACAGACTGAAGTTACATCACGTGATATAACCTTGTGTACAATATACAGACTTAAGTTACATCACGTGATATAACCTTGTGTACGATATACAGACTGAAGTTACATCACATGATACAACCTTGTGTACAATATACAGACTGAAGTTACATCACGTGATATAACCTTGTGTAGGATATACAGACTGAAGTAACATCACGTAATATAACCTTGTGTACGATATACAGACTGAAGTTACATCACGTGATATAACCTTGTGTACGATATACAGACTGAAGTTACATCACGTAATATAACCTTGTGTACGATATACAGACTGAAGTTACATAACGTGATATAACCTTGTACAATATACAGACTGAAGTTACATAACGTGATATAACCTTGTGTACAATATACAGACTGAAGTTACATCACGTGATATGACCTTGTGTAGGATATACAGACTGAAGTTACATAACGTGATATAACCTTTTATACAATATGCAGACTGAAGTTACATAACGTGATATAACCTTGTGTACGATATACAGAATGAAGTTACATAACGTGATATAACCTTGTGTACAATATACAGACTGAAGTTACATCACGTGATATAACCTTGTGTACAATATACAGACTGAAGTTACATCACGTGATATAACCTTGTGTACGATATACAGACTGAAGTTACATCACATGATACAACCTTGTGTACAATATACAGACTGAAGTTACATCACGTGATATAACCTTGTGTAGGATATACAGACTGAAGTAACATCACGTAATATAACCTTGTGTACGATATACAGACTGAAGTTACATAACGTGATATAACCTTGTGCACGATATGCAGACTGAAGTTACATCACGTGATATAACCTTGTGTACAATATACAGACTGAAGTTACATCACGTGATATAACCTTGTACAATATACAGACTGAAGTTACATAACGTGATATAACCTTGTGTAGGATATACAGACTGAAGTTACATCACGTGATATAACCTTGTACAATATACAGACTGAAGTTACACGATATTTAATAAACGTTAAGTAATTGGTTTCGTTTGAAGTGGTGTGTACATTAACAACAAGAAACAAATATTTTAAACATTTCGGAGAAAGTATTTTATCATAAAAGAAATCACTCATATAGTGTCGGGCCTTTATTAAGATTACATTCATGCGGTTGTACAAGAGACAAAGACTCTGCAAACAGTTTGAGTAATTAGAAGCTCAGGATAATATCGATAAAGGAAAATTAATTGATGGGTAAAAATTCGAAATAATGTCGTTAATTAAAACAGCGTCTCGCCTGTACGATATGATTTTGTATCTCCAGCAAACACTGAAGTATCCTTGTCAAGTTGTTTTATCTATATATGTAGCCGAAAACCCAGTCATGTTGGTGTAGAACCCATAATTCGTCAGCTGATTTGTTACAAATAGCAGTTGGTGTGGGCATGTAGTTATGATATTCTCCTTCATATGTTCCAGTTCCCGATAATCGTATGACAGAATGATTGTAGAAATCGCTGACGAAGAGTTCCCCGTCCTTGTTGTAGAAGACACCTCTCGGACTATACGCCAATTCGATACGATCCAGATCTGGTCTCAGTTCCGGAAATTTTCTCCGTCCAAAATAAATATGTAGAATTTTCAACAACTTGTCAAATATAACAACTCTAGATCGTTGGTCACCGCCATGAGATTTCCAATCCATGTCAATAACAGCCAGGTTATTTGTAGACGGACACTCCGCAATGCGATGAGGTGTTCGGACAACGTAGTCCTCCGTGGATGTGGCCGACGTTACTTCAGCTCCATCTGGTGTGTAAATGGTGAGTACCCCGACCATGCCCACCACTACACGGTAGTCTGCAGTAACACACAAAGACAATGGCTTTTTGTCAACAGTAAAGCGGACAATCTTCTGATCTGATTCTATCTCCCCAACCGTATTACTAGTTTGAGAGCAATACCACGCCTTCATGTTGTCCCGACAAAGACTGAAATCCGGAACACTTTCATGGAGATGTATAGTTTTACACACATACCTTGCCTCGGTATTGTATACAACGATCCTGTTCTCATCATCCAGAAGCCATACATCCTGACCAATATCAAACATAGATTTTACTTTACCCATGAAACGGAAGTTTCCTGTGTTTTCATACGGCATCGGAACAGTGATGTTCCTTATTTTAGACTCTGTCATATTTTTTACGAGAATATCTTCTCCTCTCCCGGTCTAATAGAATATCTTACAGGATACCTTGGAGTTACATCTATTTTAAGACCAGTAAAAAATCAGGACGCACTCGTTTATGAAATAGTGACATAAACTTCACTTTAAATGGCGTTTAATATTCCAGGGGATGAAAAACCTGTTTATTGAAGCTTATATACAAATGGAGACATTTGTTCTCATAATCAATTCTACAATCTCGCATAGCATACAGGCATTGGATCATACAATCGACATAATGAACATTTTTATTATTTTTGTGATTAATCAGACGCGATAGCTTAATCCTTACAAGTTCAGTGGCCGTGTTAACACGGTGTGGTAGTCCCGTCAACGAGTAGGCCTGGGTTTCATATAGTTCATTGTCGGCACTCATTTTTTTCAGCCTAAAAATGTTCACAAAGCAGACTTATTCTGCACGAGATAACTATCCTTGTTAGAATTTCACTTTAATAGCTATTTAATGTTTAACTTGAAACTATTTTATGCTAAATAGTGTTTCATTGCTTTACAATTTAGATTATGTATATGCAGTTAGACTAATGTAGATGCTTATTTATCTGATATAGGATATCGTAACATCAATGTTAAGTTTAAAAATGTTTTATTGCCAAAATGAATTTGAATAAAGGAATTGGGCACAAGTTATTACAACTTGTTGGAGCCCTCTCCTTTCATACATTTTCCAATACATGCTTATACAGATATAGGCTTAAACATAAATTATACATATTAAGCATTCACACACAGACATAAATACATCGCTGTGTAAGAATCTTAAAAACCTTTAGCTGGATTTAATGAAATTTTGCACATGTGTAAAGACAAAATAGTTTATGTCCTCAGAAAGATCAATACTACCAAACAAAAGAAGCTCTAAATTCAAATCTACGTCTAATTCAGCCAGATTATGAAACAAAGTACGTCTTTCATTTCGGAAAGTTTGACTCTCATCAATGTGTATATAACACACGAATAGATAGTATACAGAAGTATGAATTAAGTAAGGGATTTAATATAATGTAAAAACTGACACTTTTGAGGTCTGATTGTTTTCGAGGTTTGGGGTATTGGAGTATGAATTAAGTAAAAGATGTAATAGATTGTAAAAACTGATATTTTTGAGGTCTGATTGTTTTCGAGGTTTGGCTGTATTGAAGTATGAATTAAGTAAGATATGCAATATATTGTAAAAACTGACATTTTTGAGGTCTGATTGTTTTCGAGGTTTGGGGTATTGAAGTATGAATTAAGTAAGATATGCAATATATTGTAAAAACTGACACTTTTGAGGTCTGATTGTTTTCGAGGTTTGGGGTATTGGAGTATGAATTAAGTAAAAGATGTAATAGATTGTAAAAACTGATATTTTTGAGGTCTGATTGTTTTCGAGGTTTGGCTGTATTGTAGTATGAATTAAGTAAAATATGCAATATATTGTAAAAACTGACATTTTTGAGATTTGATTGTTTTCGAGGTTTGATGTATTGAAGTATGAATTAAGTAAGAGATGCAATATATTTAAAAAAAAAAACTGACACTTTTGAGATCTGATTGTTTTCGAGGTTTGGGGTATTGAAATATTAACTAGTATATAATATTTACAGAGAGAAAACATTTCTGAAAGTCCATTAAATGATTATCGTGGACAAAATTGTTTATGCTTGAAGCCTTTTGTATGACAAGAGGTTAATGACTTCATAAGTCTCTGGCAACTGGTTTAAATCTGAACTTATGAACTTGATGTCTCCTTTTGTTGGTAAGAAGAATGGCTGGGTCTTTAAATAAGGACTTGTTAGAGACATACTGCGGATGAGAAAAAAGATATTATCTTCATCATGTCATTTGATATGCCGTGAGTGCGACCTCTGCGTAAATACTAATTACCTGTGTTCAGGTTTACTTAATTGCCTTTTGTAAAGTGAAAACAGATATGAAAATAATCATGGAAAGAAGAGAGGAACGCCAGTATGATTTGATAACCATTAATCAGCTGTACAAAGTGAACAGTGGTGTATCACTAGTGTCTGGTGGCTGTGCTTGGTACAAACTGGATTAACTATTAGAAGGTCATTGATAAGACATATATGAATGTCCTTGATACTGATGTTAAATCAACACAATTCACATCACTGCAGATATTGCAACAAACGAACTGATCCTTGTCTGCAGATATTATTTAATAAATAAGTCCAAATTAATTAATACAAAACGGGCACGAATTATACAAATAATCAAGTTTCTGGTTGGTAATATGTTCGTCGAGTTTAGTGGAGAAGTTGTGAACTGGTCACCATGTTACGTCATACCTCACTACAGACGGGGAATTGTGACTACCTCTCTATCACAATAGTACGTTCTTATGTTTCAAATATTCATATATAATTCACAAGTTGCAGATAATTAAAAAATAAATTTTTTACTTATCTGTCAACTTGTTATTTGTTATTTTATCTAAAAAGATACAGAGTATCTTTGAGTAAAATGGCGACACATTGTATTGACGAGTATTACAAATATAAATTATAAGTTTACTGTCTAGAAACATCTTTTGCTGTTAGGCTTCTGCTGGAAAATGCCGAGGTAGCAGGCAAGTTACATATTACCTGTCTTCTTTTGGTGCATTGGAGAGAGAACCTTATCAAACCTGACCAACAATGGGATGTATTTAATACCCAGCTAGAATGACATATTTATTAGTAACTATATGCCGATTTCTAGGAGTTCGAAAGAACAATAATTACCTCGTTTTTCATAAACGTTCAGTTTAGTTATTATGAACACACCTCACGAGATCATATCTAAAGGATAAAACTTCTCCAGTTTCAACTGTTACCTGTATTTCATTATCTGTCTAATTCTTAATTTAGAATAATCTTTGAGATCATAATTGGTTGACATCGTGATGAAATCCCTATGGTTTACTATTATCTGCATGCCACGTATAACATTTCTAATAATAGCACTGTCAGAATATGCACGTGAAATTGCTGTTGCAATAACCCGATATATAAAAAAGAAATACGAAACATTTAATTATGGGGATAGTGCAACCAAACGAGCTTTTGTACCGAACACATCACTGGTACAGCGATTTGAACCGTTGCTTTGTTAAGACAGCATTCTCCGAATGATTGAAATGGGATGAAACACTGACACATCTATTCATTGAGAAATATCAATACTTTAAACCGGTAGAATTGAATATGTTACTAAATACTGTCCCACGATTTGTGTCCGAGGTCGGGTCTGGCATCATTATCTGACAGTTGTCAGACAAAGCACCTCATGACATTTAGTGTAATCTTATCTTAACTTTATCATTCGTAATTATGAAGACAACGAAAATCAGCATTGTATTCAATTTTTTTTTAAATGACAAAGATTAAGTCGGAATTAACTGCTCTTATAACAGAAAAAATCTTAATAGTTAGGAGTTATCTCCCTTGCATGTGCGCTATACAGAAGTGCAATACCTTATGCAATCATTTCTATATAATTCAGTTGTAAAATTCAATACTTCCCCAAATCAGAATTTTGTAGGCTTTTAGTAAGGTTTAATTAAATGCATTTCGATGGCAAACCAAGGCTTGCCCTATAAGGGTACAAAGATTATAGGCTTTTTTCAAATAGTCTGAACAAGTTGGGTGGTCCGACACAAAAGCCTTGCTGATAGGTGGTATCCGCGGAAAGTCAAATATTCCGAACTAATTGACCATAACTTTAGACACTGAGTCAAAGACTTAACCCTTAATGATGCGTGGTATTCGCTGGAAGTGAAATTTCGTGTTGGAAGTGCGATTTCAAGATGTCTTGGATAGGGAGATCTGTGTTCGTATGCCAGGATTTGTCTAGCTGCTGTTGGCAGCAACTGAAACCAAGTGTTTTGTTATTTGTTTGGTATGAAGAAACACACCATCGTGTGAAAAAAAAAATCCCCATTCTTTTGAGTAGGACTGTCAGATCTTTCGAGGGTTTAGCATAATGTTTCGATTTCCTCACAAATGGCCTTAAAATATCTGCATGAGACTCGAGACATTGTAACCAATGGAACCAGTATAGTCCACACTGGGCCGTGTTTCCCGTGTTTTGTGGATCTTTGGTTTGTAATAAAGGAGTGCTCTCTGCTTCACTGCAGTTGGACGAGGGTGTCTGTATCGTGATAAAGTTGATGTATTTTCTCTCTTGTTTTTCTTTCTAATTTTGAGAGAATGACTGTTTTCATGTCCTTGAACATAGTCACAACCGTACTTCCACAATCCGTGTCTGCTGGTTTAGTTATAATAAATTTGTCCTTGGTTCATTGTATAAGTACGCACTCACTTCATTGATTTTATTTTGTAATTTTGAAAACCTATAACCTAGGACCTAAGTTGTTCAGTCTCGGCGTACATTTGGTTCTTATTTGTATACCCTGGAGCTTCATAAAATTCATCAAAATCTTGATATTCTATCCGAAACGATGAACTACTACAAACCATTCGCTGTTAGTGTTTTGTAGCTACTTGTGAGATTTTTTCCAGAGATATTAAATAACTTCATGTTAAGCTTAGTTTCATTCAGATCTACCAGGAACGATGAGCTACTACAGACCATTCGCTATTAGTGTTCTGTAGCTACTTGTGAGATTTTTCCCGGAGATATTAGATACTTTCATGTTAAGCTTAGTTTCATTCAGATCTACCAGGAACGATGACCTACTACAGACAATTCGCTTTTAGTGTTTTGTGGCTATAAGTGTTTTGTAGACTTGTGAATTGTGTTTTGAAGATACTTACTACCCTTTTGTTAAGCATGGTTTCATTCAACTCTTTGGTATTCATTTTGTAAATTTTGTAAAATTCTGATCCTTGGTATCACTGTCGAGTCTTATCACGTTTGATTCACATAAAATAGTGTGTAACTGGCACCTACTGGTCGATTTGTACATCAATGTATTCATGTAATATATTACAATAACTCGATATGACGAGTTGTCCTTATTTCTTGCTTTATCGAAACAATTTTGTCGCCATGAATTAACGAGTTAACGAGATCTAGTCGACATAACGATATGCGATGTGCACATGTCGACATATCAAGCTAGATTTATTGACGACGTATTTTAAAGTTGAACAAATCGACATCACAGAAATCGATATGTCGCAGTATTGTCTCACTCTCTCGATTTGGTTTTATTGACCTATTGCGAAATATTTAGTTTAATTGATATTAACAGACTCGAGGTATGAAAATAGATATGACAGCTCGACTTTATATTATCGTGGAAACCAACAGTATAACATACACAAATGCAAGTACATGGCCGTTACATGCCAACTTGTGCTGTACCCAATTCTATTTCAGGGTTTTTTGTCAGTTCAAAAGTATGCCTTA